TAAGGTACTGTATCTGCGTACACTATTGAGCATCAGACATTATATGCACACGCACACTTGTCCGTGCAAACTTATGGATTGTCTCGTTTTGAAACCTTGCATCGCCTATTTATGTATTGAGACATTGGTGAACATGCATTGTTTGGGTAATAGTCTAAAGACAGCTCTCTGCGTTATCTTTTTTGGGTGCTCTACCGTACTTTAAGACATGGTAAGGCATCCATCTGCATGAATGCAGACTTTACCTGTATGACTGACCAACGCCATTGGCACCACCTGTGCACCTCTTTATCAGAACTACACAATGCACCTTGCAGAGCTATTCCCTTTGTGTTTTGGGCATTGCATGTGTCGCTCTCGTGCGTATTTCAATGGTTTTACCTTAAGCATGTGCTGACATGTTACAACTTGGGCAATATGGCCCCTTTCTGAAACCCTTAGCGCGGCCCTATCACCAGTTCGCCTACGTACATCTCACACAATAACACACACATTCACGTAATTGATGAATTTATGCATGTTTTTGTGGTCATTTTGGCCTGCCTGGCTGGTTTTTAGGTCCTGTGTATACAAGGTAGACCCGACCCTTTGGCCATGTCCCTCGTGTTTACTACTCATTGCGCTGAACCAAAGTATCCGCAACTTCGTACAACAATTACACTCGTCGCAACAAGATGATCGTTTGATGGAAACACTCACATGGTGGTGCGCAAGGCGAATCAAAGCGTTATCTGGGTGTTTGCCAAAAGCTGTCGCCCCTCCGTTCAACTAACCTTCCCACTCGCTCTGCCCTTCCTACAACTCAAAACTTCACCAGCTCTTTGTTTCCCCGGAAGCTATGGCTCGCACCAAGCAAACAGCACGAAAATCGACAGGTGGGAAAGCGCCTCGCAAGCAGTTGGCCACCAAGGTAGGTCGGGAGGGAGGGCAGCAAGGAGGAGGATTATGGTGGGGTCCGGCAAGCCAAGAAGACACCGCGAGCCGCGCGTTTTTGTGGATGATCGCGGGACTGAGCAACGCACTCGTATCCACCAACCTTCCAATCCAGGCGGCCCGCAAATCAGCGCCGACGGCAGGGGGTGTGAAGAAACCTCATCGGTACCGGCCTGGAACGGTCGCCTTGCGGGAGATTCGCAAGTACCAAAAGAGCACCGAGCTCCTCATTCGGAAGCTGCCATTCCAGGTGCGTCTCCCTCCGCTCTTTTTTTCTTGTTCTCCCACGTCTCTTTTCCACGCTTTCATTTGTCTTCTGGGGGCGCTGTATGTTCCGTTGACCTTGCAAACCTGGAAGCCAGCTCTCTCTTCCTCCCTCCCTCCCTCCCTCCC